TCCTGGTGGAAACAGTAATCCTGTGGTCTTAAGCCTCACAGCTCAGGAAGGGGCATGATAAAAACCATCAAGCTGCCATATGCCACCCCCAGAGAATTTATCTGAGGGGAGTGCTGTCTGCCTTCAAGAGGAGGCTGGGTCTTTCCCCCACTGACGATCAGGAAAGTGGACGTGCTCCCCACCCCAAGGCCCTAGCCAGTGATGGGGCTCAGAGAGACTCTTTTGCAGAGACTGAGATGTCCTCATGCCTGGAGAAAGGGAGGGAGGTCAATGGAAGAGGTAAAAGCAAGGAGAGGTTAAGGGGGACTTAGGGGTGACACCACATGTCACATTTCCTTCAGGCCCCCCAAGATCCCACATCCATGTTGTTGTTGTTAAGTGTCATCAAGATAGTTCTGACTCATAGTGACTCCTATATATAGGGTTTCCAAGGAACAACTGGTTGGTTTGAACCACCGACCTTGTGATTCAAACTGACCTTGATGCCCAGTGCTTATCCTATAGTGCCACAACAGAACTCTACACCCATGCTGCCCCCAAAAGTTAGCATATAGATGCCTATCAACTGGAAGGCACTGCCAGTCCACCCCTGGTCACAACGTGGCATCACGCTCATTCTGTGCCCCTTAAAAGTCCCGCCTGTGTCCACCTAAGAAGTCAGAAAAGCAGGGAGTAGATTGCAGAGAGGAGGACATTTTGACTTAGACTGAACACAAATAGTAATTAGCAAGCATGATTGTTGTCCTAATTGAATGGGGATAAGAACCTTCGAGATGGCCTTCACCTGTTGTTCTGGGGCAGAGTCGAAGATCTGATGAAAGAAAGTTGGCAACAGTGATGGGAGAAAAGTCCAAGTGTACTGTTCTTGGCAACCCACCTACTTAGAGTGGTTAGGTATGAGAGGCCTTCAAAAAGTTCCTGGAAAATGGAATTAAAAGATACTAGAAGATGGAAAAGCTCCATATCATCAGTGAAGACAAGGCCAGGGGCAGACTGGAACAGACCATCAATTACCGATATACAAATTCAAATTGAAGCTGAAGAAAATGAAAACAAGTCTTTGAGAGTCAAAGTATGACCTTGAATTTATCCCACCTGAATTTAGAGATCATCTGAAGAACAGATTGGATGCATTAAA